AAAGGAGACTTTAACTTTTACCAAAGTAATTTTTTGGTAAGATTCTTGTACTTTTACTCAATTATCACTTTGTGTTGCTTTATCCAAAACTGTCTGTGTTGATCAAAACCGTGAGCCCTGGGCTCAAAAGCCTGAATTTTGCCTGAAACTCTCAGACTGAAGAAGTCTCTTGGAGGAGAGACGAAAAGTTTCATTAGAGAAGAACCCATCCAGAAGACCTATACAGTTTTTTCTTCTTTTTTTTTTTTGTCTTTTTTAGTGTTCGCAGCTCAGGTGCAGAAGAATCTGGGTTGTGTTTCACCTACATTTTCCCAAAGAATTGACTGAATGACAGCAAACCAGGAAGAAGGTCCCGTCTCTAAAGGCTTTGTTCATGGAGCATTAGTAAAATAATAGTTATCCATGAATCATTCCTGGCAGTCATGGAGAAAAAATGTCCAAAACTTTTCTATTTTGAAGCATAATACAAACTACGGAAACTCAGAGTGGGCGTTTTCCACTGACAACTTTTTTCCATGGACTTTTTATGTTGCCATTGAGAAATGACAATGAGCATTTTCTCTGGAAACATAAGTTAGTTTCCTAATTGTTTTCTCAAGATAACGAGTTATGGTTTTCCTTTTGTGCATTATTTGGTAATCATGTAGGCAGCATGGTCCCCTCAGCTGGTCACTGATGAGGTTTATTATATCAACAAGATCGCTGTGTAAATGCCTGTTGAGCTGCAGTCGGGCCATCCATCTCCTTAAATGACAAAGGCTGATATGAAAGTTATCTGTACCAGACAAACGGCAATTTCAGCCTGTGTAATGTTGAATACCGAATGATGCACAAAAAGAAAACCGTAAMTCATTATCTGGAGAAAACGCTAATCGTTATTTCCTGATAACGACATGTCGTTATCCTAAGAAAACCATGGGAAAAAATTATCAGCGGAAAATGTCAGCTCTCGGCTTCCGTAATAAACAATGGTTTTTATTAGTTTTTTTATTATTTCAATCTAACCTCAGGTGAACAAAAACAACATATTTCACTGTTTCTTTATTGAACAAACATGAAGTTAAAACAAAAGGACTGCATCTAGATCCTGATCTAGCAGCTTGTGGAACAGGAGGTCCGCTAGGTCCAGCAGAACTCTCATTGGTTCTCTGTAAACCTGCATCAGTCTCGCTTGGTTGTGGAGAGATTTTGGCCTCTCTTTGCAGAATAATAGATTCCACATTGACCTCAAAGGTCTTTTTTAGTGTTCACAGCTCAGATGCAGAATAATCGAATAATAATAACATTCCTGTCCAGATAGATCAACAACAGCTGCTCTTCTAAGACTGTTGAAGTCTTTGCACACTGACATACAGAGTTAGTTCCTTAGTTTTTCACACACAGCTTTTTCAGTCTTTTGTTTTTGTTTCTAAATAAAAATGGCATGGTGATGTCAGTTGTGTTTGTGTGCACTTGAAGTAGATCTGAATAATTTTAGAACCTGGTAAGGTGTCAGATTTATAAAACTTGCGTACGCCACTTTTCACGCCAAGGTTGTGATTTATAAAATCCAAACTTGAYGTGAAAATGTGCGGTGCCTCACAGCTCTGACCCATGTGTACGCTCATTTTGGAGACGGGAAACTGCGACACAGATGGTGAAGAGAGGAATTAGAGCCACACTATGTAATGATCACTGTCAGAGATTTAATTTACCTTCATCAGACTTAGATTTTTATTCAACTTTATCATCAGCTTTCTTAACAGTAATATTTATGCTTCTGCTGCTGAGTCATGAGGACCATAGAAAAAAAATTAAATCTTAAATAAAAGTTCACTATTCATCTCCTTCCTCCTCAGACGACCCTGACCCACAGACCCCTCCCCGACAAGAGACATTTCAGTGGAGCACGACGGCAAAAAGCTTGGTTACAGTCACGCTTTGGGTGCGCTATTATAATAGGTTCACTTTTTAATGTCCATATCACGCGTGCGGTGTGTGTGTGTGTGTGGGGGGGGGGGGGTGAGGATACGATCAGCCACAGATCACAGGAGGGGGAGGATGGGGAAGAAGAGTGGTGAACTTATTTTTAACTTTACCTGACTTATTTCATGTTATGACCCCCGCACACGAAGCTTAGGTGGGAGTCATATTGTTTTCAAACTGTTTATTTATTATTTATTTATTTTCCTCCGGAGATTTTTGGTCAACCGTAGTACAAAAACAGCTGCACCAGTCAACATGAAATTTGCCAGGACTGTGGGTGAGTCTGACCTACACTGCGCCAGCCAACAGTTTTACAATAGACCCCATATTTGAGGAGGGGGCTCCTTTCAAAGTGGGGGTGTCAGGACATGCAAAAAATGCTTATAACTCAGAAACTGTTCAACATAGAAGCTTCAGATTTCTTTTGTTGTTTAGCTCTGATGAAGCTCTATCCACCAGGCCCACCAATCAGTGCCCCCCAACCCCCAGACCCCCAATTTATCTGAAAAAGGGGTATCTGGACATACAAAACTGGTTATTGCTCAAAAACTATTAAGTGAAGGAGCTTCAGATTTCTTTGGTTGTTTAGCTCTGATGAAGCTCTATCCACCAGGCCCACCAATCAGTGCCCCCCAACCCCCAGACCCCCAATTTATCTGAAAAAGGGATATCTGGACATACAAAACTGGTTATTGCTCAAAAACTATTAAACAAAGAAGCTTCAGACTTTATTTGGTTGTTTAGCTCTGATGAAGGGCTATCCATGAGGTCAACCAATGCCCCCCCCACCCAAAACACTACAATTTTGGGATGCACCTAGTAGCATGACATTTATTAGGAATAAAGACTTCTGAGTTCTGGTGCATTTGTGTGTGCGGGGGTCATTACGTTACTGCTACGTGGTTTCTAGTTTTTAAATACAAATAACATATTTTGTCATGTTTTCCAGATACCTGATGTTAAAATATTTATGTAGAAA